CGAGAGGAAGTTGGCGGAGCACCAGGACTGGGTCTGCCAGTAGCCCTGTGCTTTGGCTCGCTCTGACCACTGCTGGTATGCGGCGAGGTCGGTGAGGAGATCCCCGTCGCCCTTGGAGAAGGACGCTTTGGCGGCGTCGGCTTCGTCGCGCTTGTCGCGGGGTGATATGAATGGGCTTTTCACCGTTAGGATAGCTGATATGGTGACGCAGGCATCTATGCAGCCGAAAATGGAGCCGTAGACCATGAGTTTGGAGCAGCGTAGGTCAGCCGGAATCATGGATAAGTATCGTCCGAGTGCCGTCAGCCTGTCATGATCTAGGGCGCCGACGCGATGTAGGAAATCTATGGCACCCTCGACAGCGACGCTTTCAGGCGGTGTGATGGTGTTCGCCAAAAAGGTAGCAACATCGTCTATACCTTTCATGGCTTTGACTGACAGGCACAGTTGCTCCAGTGGGACTCGTCGGATTTCGGGTTCTGGTCGCTGGGGCATACTCGATTCGGCTTTGCGTGTGTACAGCTTGTAGCAGGAACCAGCCCTCACACGACCGGCACGTCCTCGTCGTTGCTTGCATGCTGCCTGGGAAGCCCAGACTTCCTGGAGGCGCACCATATTGTCCTTCGGGTCGTAGCTAGTCTCTTTAACGCGGCCAGTGTCGATGACCGCGACCACATCTTCAATGGTAATCGACGTCTCAGCAACGTTGGTGGCAGCAATGACCTTTCTCTTTCCTTTGGGAGGGCTGAGGAAGACACGCTTTTGCTCTGCCGGGAGCAGGGACGCATGTAACGGGAGCGGATGAACATTGGGTATCTTCCGCACTGCATTCAAGCACCTTTCGATTTCCATAGTTCCGGGCAAGAATATCAGTATTCCTCCTGGCTGATCTCCCAACTGAGAGTCGATATATCGGACAGTGGAAGCAATCAATTCGTAATTGATGCCCATACCGAGGCCGCGAAGGAGCTTGCCTAACGGCTCTGATTCGCCTTGAGGAGGAGACATGACGTCTTCGTCAAGACCTCGCTCGGCCAGTTCGGGTGCAAAACCGGTGTCCCGGACGATATCATCCAAGTAATAATCGCTAACTGGGAATGTTCGACCTGGAATGTTCACTAGACCAACTTTCTCACGACCCCCAAAATAGTTCATGAAGATCTGTGCGTCCAGCGTAGCACTCATCAGGATGACTTTGATATCTGGTCGGTATCGGAGCACGTCCCTCAAGAGAGCCAGGAGGAAGTCGGTGTCAAGACTTCGTTCGTGAACTTCATCTACTACGACATGTGTGACATCCGCCAGAGAACCTGCGACGTTGCCATCCGGCCCACTGCCGGACTGCAGGCGACGAAGTAGGACACCAGTAGTGACAAAGGTGATCTTCGTCTCGCCAGGCCGCATTTTGGAGTCCCCACGAATGATATATCCAACTTCTTTTCCCACCGAGGTGCATCGCTCGTCGCTGACTCGATCAGCTAGACCTAATGCTGAAATTCGGCGTGGCTGTGTGCAGATGATATTCGCAACGCCGCCTAAGCCACGTTTAATCATATCATCTAGTACAAATTGCACTGACTGAGTACTCTTGCCGCTTCCTGTTTCACCTGAAATAATCGTCACTTGATGCGTATTCACGGCATGTATGATAGCATCTTGAATTTTCCAAGCGGGCAGAGACTCGCGTTTCCGAGTCATTTCTTGCTGTGCCGTTGTGGACTGCCTGGCCTTCCAAGCTTCTCGAATAGACACGCCTAGTTGTGAATCCGGATTCCAATCAATCTTTCTGCTTTGCTTCCGCGAATGACGAACGGGGAGCCTTGGGAATGAGCCAACTGCAGATGAAGAAGAGCCCGTTACTGTTGAAATGTCTCGCAGTTTGCCTGGATTTTCTATGATCCCTGGTAGATGTGTTTCCAGCCAGTCCATTATATTGAAGATCATTGACTCTCCCAGGAAGTTTTCCTCTGCAAATTGTACAGCTTGCCGTATCGCGCTGAGGCGTATATAAGCCGGAATACCAGTTCCCTGAATGGCGATCACAGGCACAGACGATGGATAACCCGCAGAGGGCTTTTGGAATCGAAAAGATAGAGATCCAGGAATATTTGGTGCCTCGCTCTTAATCTCACAGACTTTGGATGATATACGTTTGTAGCGTTCTCCGAAGATTGCTTCGAGTGTATCCTGCTCCTCTGCCCAAGAGTCTTCGTCCCCCGCGGACAATGAGTCCAGAGAATGGTTTTCACCGTGCACTAGAGTCCTTTGTAAGAATTCTGCAGCTGCAAGTTCATCACCGCGCTTGCTATCCAGAGTATGAGCGCACAGATCAGCTGAATATCCAAAAGAGGCAAGCCGTTTGATTTTGGCCTCCCTTGCAAGGTCATCGCTGGCGAGGGTCACACCGGCGGTATATCTCTCGGGCAGGCACCACCGCGGGAGGTCATCCTCCGGGACGTAGATGAGAAGCCACTCGAGAACCTCTTCCCGGTCTTTACAGGCAGCGGTAGCCTCTTCAACGTGACTGCGTCGGAAGCCCAAACCGAGGAACTCTTCAATAATAGCTTTGCGCTCAGCCTCCGATATCTGTACGTTGTACGGATTCCAGATCGTATGCTGTCGCAACAGCTCCTCGAGTTCACGGCGAATTTTATTTCCCAGATCAACCTTTGGAGCTTGCGACCAGATCCTTTTCCCTTTGTTCTCGCCACTTGAGCCTACACCCAAATCGACAGCGGTCTCCTTCTCCTTCGCCTGCGCCTTTTCTCTCTCTTTTCGTTTCTTTTCTAGATCTGCAGCAGCATTTTCCCGTTCTTGCTTTGCTAAGAATGGATCGGCTTCGTACATCCACCCTTTCCCTTCCTTGGTATCTGCGTTCTTTATGTCCGTAAAGTCCTCTTTCCACAGCTTTTTATAGGTAGGCGGGAGCATCATATGTAGGTTTCTCATGTTGCAGACTCGAAACAAGGCGTAGGCAGCAGCGAAATGGCGAGCTTCCAGCGCCGTCGGCTGAGCCGCCAAATGCTTGTGTGATGGTGGCGGCTTCATAGGAGGAAGTACGGTCAGTTCTCGAGTCTTGGGATCGATCCGTTTCAATATGACTGAAGAGATATAGCCATCTGAGGTTTTCATCTATGAACGTGCGCTATCCTGTCAGCATCGCTACCGCGCACAGCTAACGAAGGCGCCCTAGAATCTTTGCGCTCATTCACTCACCATTGTATATTCAGGTTTCTCCCATTTCTGCTTCTGGCAATGCTCCGCGAGCATATTGACCGGCAGCTTTCCAGTCCATGATGCACCCCCGATCACCTCCTTCACAGATGGTTTCTTCGGTTCCTCTGTGGCGGCCTGCGCTTTCTTCGCGTTTTCAGCCGATCGCTCTGCGGCGGCTTTGGCTTGCTTAGTCCCAGGCTTGGGGACTCCACGGGCGTCGGGCTTCTTCTTTGGACCCATTGGTGAATATTGCTTTAGACTTGGCAAACGCCCGTGGAGCAACTCAGGATATTGAATCGCAGGGATGCCGAGCGGCGACTTGTCGTGGTCTTGATTTGCTGGCGGGCAAAAAAAGCTGTCCCGCACTACAACCTGTTACTTTATCAGAAGCTTGCGGGGACCGCAACCTTACCCGCTCTCCGCATCTTGCTAATGCTAGTGAATCAGGGACGATCATGGCCACAGATCAACCGATTGTGGATGCTTTAAGATTGTTCACTGGTAGCTCCCTCTGGCGCAAGTCTATATAAGTCAAATACCTTCGTGATCACAATGTCGGGCGAATCACCGATCCTTGAAACAGAGCATGCGGATGCCTCGCAGGCGACGACTTCCCAATCACGGGCAGAGAAGCCAGCGAAAAGAGATGCCTGTACATGCGTGACCTGATCCCCTTTTTTCCACAAAAGTACAACTGACTTGAATATCAGTTTCAGAGCTTCTATCACCTAAGAACAAGCAACAGAAACAAACGAGCCATCCCCCCTCAAAAACGAATATCAAGAACAGGTTTGGCGCGCGTGACGGTCTGGGCGCCTACATCGAAAAGCCAGAGTCATACCCGTCCAGCGTCGTGGTACACTACAACGATGATTTTGTCGTAATTCATGACATGTTCCCCAAGTCTACGTTACATTTGCTATTGCTTCCTCGTGACCCAACTAAAACGCGGCTCCATCCATTTGAGGCCTTCGAAGATGCAGAGTTCCTGAGCAAAGTCAAGGCCGAAACGAGAAAGCTTCGCACTTTGGCCGCAGCCGAGCTGAGACGCAAGTACGGGAGATATTCAGCCCAGGACAAAGAGAGACAGGATGCTTTGAATGCAGACCCGCCGCCTGATGTGCTACCGCAGGGGAGAGACTGGGAGAAAGAGGTCATGTGTGGCATCCACGCGCACCCGTCTATGAACCATCTACACATACATATCATTTCCGTGGACAGGTATAGCGATCGCTTGAAGCACAGGAAGCATTATAATAGCTTCTCGACCCCTTTCTTTGTCGATATCGAGGATTTCCCCCTCGCCAAAGATGATGCGAGACGGCATCCCGACAGAGAAGGGTATTTACGGAGAGACTTCAAATGTTGGCGATGTGGGAAGGATTTCGGCAATAGATTCGCTGAATTGAAAAGCCACCTTGAAGCAGAGTTCAACGAATGGAGAAAACTTTGAGCTTTAGGAGTCTCATCAATTTGTCAGTTTCCATTCGTACGTCATAAACCGCCGAAACCGTCAACTTGTTGGGCATGAGCTCCAGTATAGTGATTCGATTGGTAGTAACAGGTTTGGCGTTCATATGCCAACATTATCTGATGGGTTTTTATCATAAATATACACCTACTATCCTGGACAGAAGCCGCCTGAACCTTTTGGCCGATTACATTCTCAGTAATCTCTTGCCTCGAGTCGGTCCACTCTGGCCTTTGCCAACGAGACCATAGACGGTCTGTACGCAGCCACTAAGTATCATCAGTGTCAAAGCCACCTTATCCACCTCGAGGCTTTAGGCACGGCTCTTAGACCGGGAGCTACCCTTGACCTTTCTGGCCTCAGGGCGGTTGATGTGGTGAGCTGGGATCCATTCGGCGTTGTAGGTGGTAGCGGAGGTAACAGCGGGGCTGCTAGGTCCTTCTTCGGCCTTCTTAGATGCGCCAGAAGATTTCTTGGAGAACTCCGCAGCCTTTCCGGCCTTGCGCTTCTGAGGAAAGTATGGCGCAATCCAGATGGTGTAGAAGAAGTAAACGGTACCAGCGAAACAAGCCAGGAGGAAGAAGTAGAGGAAGATACTAAGGTCATAAACAATAAGCCAACTGTCCCTGACCGCGAACGGATTTTGGAGTAGCTCACATTTGGGGATCGAAGAGGCTGGTCTCGGGCTCGACCACGCTTACGGTGCCATTGTGGGCATAGACAGTGAAGAATTTTCCTTCGCTGTCGGAAATGATGGAAGCGATGGTGAGTCTCAGGTCCTGAGGGTGCATTTCGGTGGCGAAGCTGTAGCTAACGCTCTCCTTCTGGCCAGCAGGGATCTCAAGACCATATCTGGTGGCAGTCAGGTTGCGAACAATCTGGCTCTTTTCATCGAGAGTCGACAAAGATCCACCGATAAAGTTAACGGTCACAGGAGCAGCTTCTTCATTGGTAAAAGTGATCAATGCCTGTGTCGGGTGACCGTTGACAAGCTTAACGCCGAAGATCTCAGAAGCAGGGAAGGAAGCCTCCGCCGATACAGCGAGCTTTTGGACCTCAGGAATGTCCTGCGTATTCTCGGTAGTGTCCTAGTGGTCGTCGATTTATGTGAGCAACTCAATTGACCTAGAATAATAGCAAAATTACAATTCGCGACATACAGCTGCGAGACCACCGCCGATGAGGGCTTGGACAGAGAACAATGCCAGCGAGAGAAGACCGAAGCGAGCCATGGTTGTAGAAGACCGTACTCAGACAGATAAGAAGGGAATAAAACAAAGAAAAAAAGAAAGGGGATGAAGAGAAAAAGGGAAGTGGTGTGGAAATGGTAAGACAGTGGAAGGGGGGAACTGAGGTGCTTTTTCTCCACGTAGTCACAAGTTGGGAACTTCCCCATGCGCTCGCTGACTCATCCAAGGCTCCAGGAAGCTTCTGATTGGCTGTTACCTAGATGCTCTCCTGCCACTGTTTATCAACTGCTTAAAGCAAAATATCATACTACTTTACTTTGCTTGCATGGCTAAATTCTAATGAAAGACAGGAAAGGGAAAAGCAACTGTAAATATTCCATATTCCTTTCTTATTTAGTTCTTATCATTGAGCGTCATCAGAAGTGAAACTTGACTCTAGTGAACCTCAATGTTTTAGGATTCCCTGTTGACAACTCCTACCACCTTCATCTAGAACAGTGAATGATAACACAAAATAAGAACTTTTAGAGCTGGTTACTTTTGCATCATCATCTCTAGGCCCTTTCTTTACTCTTCTAATACCCCGTACCCCGTACAATCACCAGCTTTTCTCGGCGCAGTGAGCTACCTTATTACCTCATCCATCGGACCCGCTATAGTTCACCATGGAAGCTCAGGCCTACGCCGAGCGCTATAGACAGGTGATGACTATAGAGCAAACCAAGAACAGCCTGATTGAGGTAAGCATCTCAGCTTCACTTCATCTCAAGTCCACATATTAACTGACTTCTTTCTCGACTAGGAGCTTCTGCAACGAGTGGCAGAGCTTGAAAATGCTCTTCAGCGCCAGAAACTCGACCATGAACGCGAGAAGCATTTTAATCGTGAGATTCAGATCCACGAGATGGAATTAATGAACGAAATCACAAGAATGACCGCACTCATGGTAAGCCCTGGCGAAGCGTTCAGTTTAGTCTCTATCTAACAACATATCTGCTATCATTGTAGCATCGTGAACCCTACATGATTGTACTTCTGGACGGATATGGCCTCATTTTCAAGGAGAAGTTCCTGAAGCAGGGCGAACATGGTGGGAAAAATGCAGCAAAAGAGCTTTCATCTGCATTGCAGGATTACATTACAACTCATTTCCCGAACGTTGCCGCACCCAAGATCGTGACAATGATCTATATGAATGTGAAGGGACTGGCCGACCTCTGCATTCAAGGAGGAATCAAAATGGAGCTCTCGGTGCTCGAGGCATTCGTCCGAGGCTTCAATGGCAACGGTTTGCTTTCTGATATCATCGATGTTGGCACTGGCAAAAATAAAGCGAGTGATAAGATTGAAGGTACGTGATACAGTCCTGATTGCCCTAGGCAGCCTCCTTAAGCTGCGCTTGGCTCCGTGGAGAGTTCTAATACAGTGGCTGGCCAGAGATTTTCAAGCGCAATCTAAACAACTGCCATTGTCATCAGATCTTGCTCGGTTGTTCACATGATGATACGTATGCTCGGTTTCTTAGAGAAACAATGGTGGACTACAAGTACATAGGGAGGGTGACTCTCATCGAGGGCGTTCCGTTGCAGGGAGACATGAAGACGATGAAGCCATCCTACAGAGTCGCAAAGTTTACTCATATCTTCCGAGAGACGAACATTGCATCGAAGTCGGCTCCCCAGGAAACCAAGCCCCGTTCGTCCCTTACACCATCGCCAGTTCAGCATGCAACCCCACTCTCGAAAACGTCCACAAATACCACGATGACAAGTAATAGTCCTGCATTATCGACCTCTTCGAGGAAAATGCCAAAATCCGAAGAATTCCAACCGGTTGTCCGCTCCATTCGCTCTAAGGCATCGAGCTCTCCGCTTCCCAAAATCGTGGAACGGAACAAGTATGGTCAGCGTGTCGATCGCTTTGATATCAAGACAATCTCAAAGGATGATTTGGCCCGCATGAAGAAGCTGAAGCTTTGCAACTATTTCTACTTACAGGGCGAATGTCCCATTGAGGATTGCCGTCACGATCACTCACGCACATTAACCAAAAGCGAGTACCATATCCTGATGGTCGTTGCACGCATGACGCCTTGTCGCTACAAATTCGAGTGCGATGATCCTGACTGTATGTACGGACATCGTTGCCCTCATAGCGAGCCCGGCAAGAAGGAGTGTGTCTGGGGCTCGACTTGCCGATTCGATGCCGCCGCCCATGGAGTAGATACGATAATTGTCAAGGTCACCAAAATATGATCCAACCTCGCCGTCACGGTCTTGGACAGGCTCGAAATCTGTGCAGATTCGGCCCACCCTTTCGGCATAGTGGATGTTTCCGGAGTTGCAAGGCTGATACGGCGTAATCGGGTTCTGCTGCTTGTGACATTGGGTTTGAAATATGGACACCGGGCATTTCTATCGACTTGATGCAATGGTGGCATTTGCTTTTCGTCATGTCGATTGACTGATTCTCTTCTTTTGCCTCGCACCCAGGACTGGATCACTTGATATCCCCTCGGCATTTGCCTTTTAACTTGATTTTGTTCTTTAGCCAGGCCTCAACTCAGTGTATGTATCTTTGAACATATGATGACCCAGAATCTTTGAAGATCGTTATGCGACGGCGTGTTGTAGGATAACAGGGTTTTGATGGCCCCGGACAAAAATGGTCTCCAAGGTGCAATGAACTACAAAATAGAAGTCAGAATACCAGACGGCTAGGCATGGATAGTTGTATTGAACATGGCGAATCGTCTCTCCCAGCCAAAGCAGGTCTCGTGACTACATCCAGTGCCGTCGTCGAGCTCATCATCTTGGGACTTCCCATGACCACACCTGACTCCGTATTCCTTGATGCAGCAAGTAAACGGGCGGGACGAAAGTGGACCCAGAGCATGAGGATTCGAGCCATCCTTGCTAGCAGCTCTTTTCCGTTCCTCAAGGTCACCCCAAAGGTGGGACAGCGTTTCTCTTAGCAGACGTAATTTGGAAGGATTTTTCCGCAAACTGAATGAACGTACAATTAGAATACTCGAAGCCTCGCTTTCCGTAGCGTAAGAATACAATACGGTGATGACTTACTCGGCGGCGTCAAGCTTGAGCAGACACTCAGCATCAGCTCCAGAAACAAATAGCTTCATTCGCTGGCTGGACTTCCCGTGTGCATGAGGCGGTACATTTTCAACCAAAAGGCAGAACCGCCATTGCCATCTAATTGAACGATCTGCACTATGGAAGTTGTGTGTTTCATCCACCTCTGCGTCAGGACGCGGTTTATGCTCCGACTCTTCTGGAACGGCGAAATCTTCCAGTTTTGGAGGGAAAAAGTCAACCACGCGAACAGTGGCTCGGTAGCAGACATTTTGAAAAGGAATCCGATATTCAATCTGATTAGGCGAGACATTTTCGTGAAACTCGCCGTCTAAGATGTCCGCAAGACTCGTGCATCTGATGGATGGGTTTGATGCCTGAACTGTTTCCGGACATTGATTAGGTTTGGTTGTTGCGGTCTGGACGAGGATGAGCTTACTAGTCTTATTGATTTCGTATCTTTTGGGCAACGAGAGCGAGGTTTGACCTTCTTCCTTTTTCGCTGTCGCTGTCTTGTTTTGGCTTTTCTGGGACTTGCTGCGACGGGAAGTCGCCTCCTCCATCTCTTCAGCTTTGCGCTTTCGAGGGTCGCTTTCCCAATACTTCTTTCTGCGACGTAACAACTCTCGGCCGCGCTCATCGTTCTTAGCGTCGATCAAACGGATGTTCATTTCATCGGGATTCCGACGATCGCAGTGCATAGCCCCTTCCAATGGAGTCCCTTCTATGCGACTTCGCTTAATATGGACATTTCTCAATCGAACAAAGCTGCCCTCCTTGAGATGTTCTCGGGCAAAGGAAGCATGTGGTTCCCAGAGAGTTATCTGGAGAGTCATGCGACCAGCAGGGCCTTGCCATTGTCTCTTGGAGCGCAGTAGGTAAGCATACTGATCCCCTTCACGAGCATTGTTGGCGTCAATGGTGTAGTTGTGAAGCCCTTCGTTCGTGGTGTAGTCAGTAAGATAGAGAGCGACCTTCTCGCTATCATTGGTAAAAATCTTGACTACTTCACCAGTGAGATCCACAAAGGTTCTTTCTTCAACATCTTTGATGAGGGAAAACTTCTGATTGGCATTCGACTGAGGTGCAGAGACTACGGATTTCACAGAACGTAGAGTCGGAGGAGCACTTTTCTCATTTGAAGCGACGCGGAAGGATTTGAAGTTAGAGCTTTTGTCTATCAAAGACAATGCATACGACTTCTCCGAATACGACGGCTCAAAAGGAACCGGACCACAGATGGGAGAAATGTCCACGAAGCCTGGCTCTGGACGGAATATTGCCCACAGAATAGTAGTCTCATCAGGCGCAACACCTAGAGGTCTTCCGTTAAATTTTGTTACCTGCAGGTCAGTCCGTCAGTAATGCCGTACTGTTCATAGAGCTAAATCGCTTACAGTGATGTTGCGTAATAGGATAACATCGCGCACTCGGACAGGCGGGAGTTGACTTGGATTATCCTTGAAGTACTTGATCTTCAGCCCATCCCAAACGTGTCCGTTGCCAAAGTCAGTGTCTTTGAGGGTGAATGTGATACACCAGGAGCGACTTGACTGGAAGGCCCCCCCGAAGACATCCACAACCACTCCGATCACACTTACAAGCCCGGAAGAGGAGAGGGCAGTAGGTATACTGACGTGGCGAGCAGCCGACCCGTTGACCATTTCGTCAAATTTCGGTTTTTTATGATGCAGAGCGAATATTCATGCTGATGTAGTAGATGGATTCTCGGTCAGTTGCTTAATGAGCTCCAGTAAGCTCTGCTAATTCGAGAAAGACATGGGCTATGTTTGGCAGCGGGGTCAAGTGCTCTCCAAAGTGGTTCTCAAAATTGACGCTAGAGCTCAAGATAGGGTATATCCAGGAAAACTATTGAATATATAGTATCTACTCTGTTGTATGGACGCGTCTTGATGCGATTAGGGCGGATGTGGCGCTTGGCAGGAGCAACAATGAAACCTCAGGCCAGAATAAGTCCCGTGACCTGAGCCAAAAATTCCTCTTCTGGGGCTGCCTGGACGAACACTGACTGGCGCTAAGACCGGTACGGCCTTACACTTAACTTTTTTCCCCTCCCCTCACACACCTTTCACCTTCTACAGACAAGACGCATTCCTCCATCTTATCTCTCTCCCCTCCAAAAAAGACGCCTATTGTCTTCAACCAACCCAAAAGTCTATTTCTTCTCTTCTGACGTCTTTTTTGTCAAGAGCTTATCTCAGAGCTTCTTTTTCTTTCCCTCCTTTCTCTGAGATCTTTCGCTCATCTCAGCTTCGCTCCCCACTTTCTTTGGTGCGCTTTGTTTTCACCCCTCTGTGTCCCAAGCAACCATGGCCGAACGCTACATCCCCGAGCATCGTCGCACCCAGTTCAAGGCCAGGAACCAGTTCCGGCCCGACGAGCTTCGTCGTCGTCGTGAAGAGCAACAGGTCGAGATCAGAAAGCAGAAGAGAGAAGAAAACTTGGCCAAGAGGAGAGGTATTCAGACCCGGGATGGCGGGATTGGTGTAGGAGGTGGCATGGCCGCCACCGAGAGTGACGATGAAGCCAGTGCTATTGAGAGTGAGGTATGTCAGTTCTCTATATCTTATGAGTCGTGTTTTGCACACTTTGTTATCTGTCTCGAGTTTTCTCCGTCTGCAGACGCATCTATGGTCTTTATTTGTTTTTGTTCACTATAACGCTCCACGACACGGCCTTTTCACCGCCCCGGTTGCTGGGCTAAGTGGGATCCGCCCTCTCTATTGAATCGTCGAGGGGCGCACACGACACTTTACAACTCGATTCAATACAGCACTGCTTTCTTAGTTGCATTAAAAAAATGAATAAGTGGCTAATGAAAAATTCTTGTTTTAGCTCAACGTGGAGCTCCCGGAGATGGTCAAGGGCGTCTTCTCCGACCAGATTGAGTCGCAGATTCAAGCTACCACCAAATTCAGAAAGCTGCTCTCCAAGGAGCGCAATCCTCCTATTGAACGTGTTATCGAGACCGGTGTTGTTAGCCGATTTGTGGAGTTCTTGCGCTCCCCTCACACCTTGGTCCAGTTCGAGGCCGCTTGGGCCCTGACCAACATTGCGTCTGGTTCTGCCCAGCAGACACAGGTTGTCATTGAAGCTGGTGCTGTGCCTATTTTCGTTGAGCTTCTCAGCAGTCCCGAACCCGATGTTCGGGAACAGGCCGTTTGGGCTCTTGGTAACATTGCCGGTGATAGCCCTCAGTGCCGTGACTTTGTGCTCAATGCTGGTGCCCTCCGTCCTCTGCTCAACCTCATCAACGATGGGCGGAAGCTGAGCATGCTGAGAAACGCCACATGGACTCTGAGCAACTTCTGCCGTGGCAAGACGCCCCAGCCCGATTGGACTACAGTAAGTTTCTCCAGGTTATGCTCTAATTACAATGTTATTTTTCTAACGCTTCCAAGATTGCCCCTGCTCTTCCTGTGCTTGCCAAGCTCATCTATATGCTCGATGACGAGGTCCTGATTGATGCTTGCTGGGCCATCTCCTACCTGTCTGACGGGTCCAACGATAAGATTCAGGCGGTCATCGAGGCCGGTATCCCTCGTCGTCTGGTTGAGCTGCTCATGCACGCTTCTACCTCTGTTCAGACCCCAGCCCTTCGCTCTGTTGGAAACATCGTTACTGGTGACGACGTCCAGACTCAGGTCATCATCAACTGCGGAGCTCTCCCTGCCCTCCTCTCTCTCTTGAGTTCCACCAAGGATGGCATCCGCAAGGAAGCCTGCTGGACCATCTCCAACATCACCGCCGGCAACTCTAGCCAGATCCAGTCCGTGATCGATGCTGGTATTATCCCTCCTCTGATCAATTTGCTTGCCAACGGCGACTTCAAGACCCGCAAGGAAGCTTGCTGGGCCATCTCGAATGCCACTTCAGGTGGACTGCAGAAGCCCGACCAGATCCGCTACCTGGTTACCCAAGGATGCATCAAGCCTCTGTGCGACCTCCTCGCTTGCCCGGATAACAAGATTATCCAGGTTGCTCTGGATGGCTTGGAGAACATTCTCAAGGTCGGAGAGATGGACAAAGAGGCCGCTCAGACTGGGGAGGCTCGCGTCAACCGGTATGCCTTGTTCATCGAAGAGGCTGGTGGTATGGAGAAGATCCACGACTGCCAGAACAATGCCAACGAGGAGATCTACATGAAGGCCTACAACATCATTGAGAAATACTTCTCTGATGAGGAAGAGGCCGGCGGTGACATTGATGAGCTTGCCCCTCAGCAGACACAAACTGGTTTCGCCCTCGGAACCAACCAGCAGCAGCCTGGCGGATTCAACTTTGCCAACGGCGGTGACTCCATGGATATGTAAACCCGCCTTGCGAAGGCTCTGGCGGTCAAAGTATCTTATCCTCATTTTCTCCCTTCTCTAGGACAGGAATAACGTTTCAAATTCTTCACCTCAATCACTTTGGAATACCTCATGCCTCTGTCTCTTTGCTGTCATCCCCCAGCCTGTGAGCTAGGCTTACTTTATGTTAATTCCCTGCCTGTCTTATTCTACCCTTCATCCGTTTTCAGCTATGATTCCTTTACGTTTTCCTTTGTTGTCCTTTCACGATGCTAAAGATTCACCGTCATGTAGCCCCTATAGTTGCCCCCTTCACGTCAATTCCCTCGAAGCATCCCTCATACACAGGCGTCCTTGTTGTCATTTGACTTATTCCCTTTTTCGGATGTGATTCTGCTCAAGTGTGGTCCCTTGGTAGGCTGAAGTTTCATGCGTTCTCATTTTTAGAAGTGGACCTGCACTGGAGTAAGCCGTCTCAATACAAAAGCAAAAAGACCTTTCTAAATACTCTGTGCTGAAGTATAGTTCGTATTGATCATTGTAAATTTTTCAAATATGCGTTTTCTCGGACTTTTGGAAACAAAAAGCCAACTAAGCCTGAATGATGCACCGCATGATATGTGCCCAACAGGACAAATAGAGAGAACATGACGAACAGCTCCGCCAGTATGTACAGTCTCCAAAGAGGCAAGTTGCATTGATACACCACCGCTCGGACGATTGGTTCAGACAAGCTACTAAGACATACGTTGAAATAAATTCCCAGGTATAAGAAAGAGATGAGCAAAGAGAAAACCTGGGAAATGAAATTTAAAATAGATCGAGTAGAACATTCAATCAAAGATGACAATCAGATTTCGAATTGGTTTAAAGTGAAGACGTAGACATCGTCATAGCAATTAATGGAGAAAAGGAGAGGATCGAAATATCCAGCAAAAGCGCCCGGCTCATCGTGTAGAGAAACATTCAGTGCAGTGGTAGTTAGGATTTACATGGAGAAAACAAGAGGTTTGAGGGGAACGGCAGATCCGTAGGATGAGGATTGAAGAGGGCTTGAGGGATTAATCTCCCATCACTTCATCCTCATCGGGATCTGGCGCGGTGGGATTATCGTCTTCCTCCTCATGGTCTTCGTCGATATTCTCGTCCTCGACAAGTCCTCGTGCACGAAGGTCGTCTTCATCATCTTGCTCAGCGTCGACGTCAGCTTCGTGATCCTCCTCCTCATCATCGTCGTCTATGCGCTCGGCTGATTTGGAAATTTTTGAGAGCTTGGTAGCACTCGCCCGGTCCTGTTGCGCGTCTCCAGCGGCGGCTTGCTTGCCTTTCGATCGAGACGGCCGGGGCCCAATAACTTTAGGTTTGCGTTCATCAAGGAAAGACAACACCTCGCGGTAGTTCTGGCCTAAGCGGGACTTGTGCCGGACGAGCCGCTGCTTCAACTGTCCGCGCTCCGAGCCCGAGGCGTCTATGATGCGCCCTATGATGGCAAGCACGATTTTACCCGTCAGCTCGCAAAGCCGTTGCTCCGCTAGAATAGTGGAGCGCAGACGCTCGTTCGCTATTGATTCGCCCTCTGCTCCTGTTTCGTCCTCCTCATCTGAAGGCTCCCGCTCGACGTCCGACTCAGAGGCAGGCTCGTCGTCTTCTGCAGGCTCGAGAGGCTGTCGTAACTTCCTGGCATATGTGCGTTCCGCGATGCCATGTATCTTAGCGATCAGTGCCTGTGTATTTGAATCGATTTCGTGAACCAAGCTCTGGGTTTGCATGATAACCTCCTCATCGTTCCCTGTGTTCAACCCAGCGTGACGAAGTGTACCAAACAACGTTTGCAGATCGAGCAGTGTTGTGGTCGCCGTGAAGCGAATGTCATCCAAACCACTGCGCTGTCTCATGACAGCGACTAGACTAGCAACAAACACCTCACGGCTCTTAGTCAGAGCTTCAAAGTACGCCGTAGTGAAAGCTGCCTTTCCTGCGCTCAAGGCCGTGGTTAAGGCTTGTACTTTCCACATGAAGTAGAAGAGCAGCGTCCGCATACTGCTCGTCACCAACTCGGTTTCTGCCTTGGCTGACTCGTCGTCTTCCTCTTCCTCGCGCAGACCACGTTTGATCAAATGAATGAGCACATTGAAGGGAGCTTCAAGATTTTCCTTTTTCCTGCCCTTGGACTTAGATGTCGGCTTCTTCTCAAGGACGTGTGTGCAGTCGGTCACACTGGCCAGGTTCAAAATTCTCATCGCTGTGTTGGCAAGATCATTCAGGGTTGGCATCGGTATAGAACTACCCTCAACAACTCCTTTCTTTTGTGACAGAGCCTCGAGGGCATCTATTATATCATCCCATAGCTCCTGTACCTTACTCTCGAGAGCTTCTCGCATGTCATCAGAGCTCTTTGCGTGTAAAAAGGCTACACCGGCCTCTGCCAACACATCCTGGTCAGAGTGCGTGAGGAACTGCTTGTTGATATCGTTCAGCAGTGAAGTGTATGCGGTGGCATCCTTTTGCAGATCCTGGATCTTGTCCAAGTCGACCAGATGCTCAAGTCGAAGAACGGCAGACGCCGCTTCCGGAACCGATCCATACTTGTTCAACAATTGAGGAATGATCTGCGCAAGACTATGTGCAATCTCTTCTTGAAGCTCGGGAATCTTGTCTGTCAATGCCTTCACTTTACGACCTCTTTTGTCAATGTCTGACTTGGCGACATCGAGGATGCGTAACTTAACCGCACAACAGAGGACTTCAAGAAGGATAACCTCCTGCCCTTCCTGCATCTTGTACAGTTTTTTGACCGTGCCGGTGGCATTGTCCTCAGTAGGATCGTCGGGAATCTGGGAATGGTCGTAGAGGAGGAAGCCGGCCAGAGATTGCCATTGAGAGAGCTCTGCGAAGTGCGGGTAAATGGCCTCCGTAGCAAGTACAAACCGCGAGTCTAAGGAGGCGCCGGAAAGTGCATCCCGCGCCGTGGACAACTTCCGCTCAGGAGCCAGTTCGTTTTCCTGTTCATCATACGCTTGAAGGATATCAACCAGGCACTTGAACTTGATCCAGGATCGCTTGGGCGACTCGTAGTCATCCTCATCTTCGTCGCCAAACATCTCATTCATCTCGTCTCCGACCTCTTCGGTTGTGGACTCAAACACATCTTCCACATTGGCCACGAAAAACGGACCGGCAGCTCTGCGGACACGGGGTTCCACGTCGAATACGAGTCTACCAACGGTGTCGATATCGGCAGGCTCAAGTAAACCAGCCTCCCGAATGAGATCGAGTAGTTCAATCGACGAGGCGCGCACGCCGACGTCCGCATCGTGGGCTGCCATCTCCACCATGCGCTGGCGAAAGCGCTCAGTGAACGACCTCAAGCCAGCAATGTTATCTTTGTTAGAGTACAGACGCTGGAGCTGCGTCACGACAATGGAGCGTGTCTCAGCAGACGGGTCGGAGAGAATCCAGCCAAAATAGCGAAGGAATTGACCTTCGAAAAAGTATTCTCGATAGGTGTGCATCCAGCGCCCCAGAGCGGCAATGCACTCACTGCGAATTTTGGCGTCGATGTCTCGGTAGCGGTGGACAAAAACGATATTGACACCGTCTTTGAGATACTCATCAATTGCCTCCAGCTTGCTTTCGCCTTCTTCGACTGTCGAAGTAATCGCATTGACTCTGCCCTGATTTACCGTCTTCTTTTTCTTCTCCGCCTCGAGCTGTTTACGGGAGGTAGAGACAGTGGTCATCACTTCTCGTGCAACATCACACAAGGCGTTCATGATCGTGAGGGAGATGACGGTCGAGGTATGTCTGAATGGCCGACAACCCGAAGTGGACAAAGCAGCTAACCATATTTGAAGGTTTTCGTAAAGCTCCTGCTGCTTATACAGAACTGAAGAATGATGAAGAGTCTGCACGAGCGCGGCGAAGAAGTCTTCTAGAATGGGCTGAAAGGCTTTGAATGTCCGAGCCCTGGAAATGAGAGGATATTCGAAGATCCCTTGCGCATGATACTCGGTCGACAAGTCATTGATGCGCTCTGGTGCGTGGTCTGGATCATCAATATCCGCATCGCTCACTTCCAAATCGGTCCCTGCACACTTGAGTATAAAGTTGATCATGGCATGCATCGCAGCCTTGGCATCCTTCTGATACTGGGTAAGCCATTCGGCAGCAACAGTGTCGCCAGTCTGGTTTTTGCCAAAGACCTCCGCTGTTCAGATATGGTAAGCCGATGCGCAAGTCGAAAACAAAAGGAAACAAGCCACCTACCATATAAGCCACTCTGTCCGGCGGCCAAACTAGGCCGTGGTTTCACCTTCCTGGGACGCGACACTGTTTTCTTGCCATTGACAGCGGGGCGAATTGCCAGCTGGCTCGGAACCCCATTGCCCGCGACTTTAGGCCTCTTTGCAGCATGTGTCGCTTGAGACTTTGTCTTCTTGCTTTTGGCGTCAGACGTGGCTTTCTTTGCGGAAGCCTTGCGCGCAGCGCGTCTCTTTTCCCTCAATTCTTCTTCGTCTGGCTCGTCGTCACTGATTTCTTCTGATTCCGACGCGTCGTGCTCATCAGCATCATCCTCCTCGTCTTCATCGCGGGCAGAGTCACGCTTGCGCTTGGCTGCGCCAGGGTTTGAATCACTGTAACTTTGAGAAAGAAATTCGGGTTTGCGCGACACACGTCCGGACTTTCTTCTATTTGATGCCTGGGGCGAATCGAGGTCGGTCAGCCCGGGTTCGGGACTCGAAAGAGGCGACTCATTTTCCATTCTTGTAGGTGATAATATAGCGCGCTGTAGAATAGAGTATCAGTCAGTAAGCTGCATAAGCTGACCCAGCATTGGCAAGCGAGAATTAAGATGATGGACAGATCAGACTCGAACGACGGTTGACCCTATGTCGCTCAGATGCGATGGTTGGAATGATCAGCCGGGGTCGCGATGTAGCGGTCTTGTTACGAGTCCCTCTAGGCGCGTTTGCCGCTTCGCGCGAAAAAGTCGGCGAAAACAGACACAGAAACAATACACTTACCTCTCAGATATACAAATGACACCATGTGCGACACAATGCCCGAATGTGGTGTGAGAGGTGGGACTCGAGATGGAGAGAATGAGGGGACACGGAATTGAACTGTCTCTCGTGGACGACGCGCCTTGATGCCTGGCGACGGGGTACCGAGCGACCCCAGGCACTCAGGCAATCATTGATGCCTCAGGCGATAATCGAGCTGTCGCAGATATCAAACGTACCTTAAGTTTGGCTGTCACAGTACGTAAGGTACCTGAAGTTAACTTGTTACCAATTCTTACCATACCGGCTCTCTTAGTTTTAGTCATACTATTTTGGGATCAGCCAGGGGTCAGCGTCACGGACATCTGACCCCAGCCAACCCTGCTGCATATGCGGAGAAAGAGAATAATCATGCCGTAATGAGAATCCTCTTTACTCCATCACGGCCGCATCTGAAGCTCAGTATTTGAGAGCCAAGAACTCCAGCCTTTTGTCCGTTTCACGAGGTCAATAGAACCCCGCTTCCATCTGCTAGTTTGTTAGCAATAGGACTGGCGACTGGACAGTTTGACAGCTCTTTGGCTGCCCCAGAAAAGATCTGGAGCCAGAACGAGCGCATGAAAGCAACCTTCATGACGCCATTCTGCACAGCATCTCTAATTGCGTCCTCTCTGTCTGCGTCCAGATACGGATATATCATGCGGTTACAGCCACTTAGCCTGTCTACTTTTCCCTATCTCCCTACATCCTAATCTCCTCTGCCTAGAACTCGTTGAAGAAGATCAGACACGATGCCAATAATATCACCCTTTGAGTCGTCCATTGCCAAACCAGGTCAAGGCAAAGTCGTTCTATCTCTCCTTCCTCCTTCGATCCCGACCCTGACGACCTTGACTTACAAGTATCCACTGAAGCTGCTCACGCGCGCCCCCGGCTTTGTGCCGCAGTCCTCCGGGCTCACAAGCTCTTCTCGACCTGTTCATCTCTATCTTCTCACATACGGTGGAGGTCTTCTACCAGGCGACCACATTGATGTCTCCATTACATTGGATCCCCGCACAAGACTCGTTGTGACTACACCGCAGGGAAGCACCAAGATCTTCAAGACAGAGCCTACTGCAAGCGTCAAGGGCCAACGGGGAACACCAACACGCGCATTAACAGACAAGAGCCGCCAGCTAGTCAATGTACAGGTCGCCAGCGAAGCCGCTCTCTGTTACCTTCCAGACCCAGCCGTGCCCTTCAAGGACAGCCGGTACGAGCAGGTACAATCATTCACCGTCGACGGGGTCTCAAAAGACCACAAGAGAAGCAGCCTGTGTGTGCTGGACTGGGTGACGCAGGGCCGCACCTCACGAGGCGAGAACTGGGACTTCCATCTCTGGAAGGGGAAGAACGAAGTCTGGACACACGACGCCACAGGCAAGAAGAAGCTACTCCTCCGTGACTCGATCATTTTAGACGACGAGATCGACGCCGTATGTCTGGAAAATGACTCGGAGACCTTCAGCCACAACAACTTGATCCGGGAGCGTACGCGACCCCACGGGATCATAGGCACCCTGATTCTGTACGGCCCTGTGTTCGAGGATTTAGCGTCATTCTTTATGGATAGGTTCACGTCGCAGCCGCGCATCGGGGCTCGGAATTGGTCATCCTCTGCCCCGGCGGCCGTGGAGACACCGCCAAATGCGGACTCGGAAGTGACCTTCACCGCGGCGCGAGTAAGAGGAGGCTTCGTCCTTGTGAAATTTGGCGCGAATGACTTTGAGACGGCCAAGAATTGGCTGGGTGGTATCTTACGTGAAGAGGGGACCATTCTCAAGGAGTTTGGCGAAGAGTCTTTGATGTGTCTATGACCTTCGTCTCCTTCTTGCTTTTGTTTTCCGCTATTAAAAAGCACTTATTGTTATTTTGTCTTTAGCGTGACTCGATCATAGCGAGTGCCGCGCTGCAGGTTACGATGAGACACATATTGATACCCAGAATCATCTTGCATCGACGCATTTATATCATTGATCGGTATGAAGCATTCAATGAGACGATCTACTCCAAGCTGGGATATGTCCAAGCACCGTTGACCATCCTCTAGAATATGGTTCTTCAAGTCTAAGTCGTATTGGTCTATAACGAAATAGATGTGAAATGAGACAAACAGAACTGAAAACCAAGCCCAAGGTATCGTCTATTGGACATCCGGAACCGACGCCGTGAACTCGCAAATACGCCAACCAGAAAATATAAGCTCTAAAATCAAATCTGTAACCAAAGACTCGTTCTGAAGATGGCAGTGGCAGCGATGTCAGGCTAAGATGACCGCCCAGCAGCCATCTCAACGCCAGCGCGACAGTCAATAAAACCGAGTACATCCTACCAATCAAAAATCCTGACCTTCCATTCTTGCTTCGTGGCACTCTGCAAGTCATCCACGTTCAGAATATCGACGCCCTCACGCGCCAGAACGCTCCAGATGTGATTCCTCAGACTCCGCGGCCAGCTAGGCAACCCCCAATAACGCACCTTGAGTCCTCGGCGATGAGCGCCCTGGATCTGCGCCCGGATGAGATCCATCTGCTTGTTTGTCAGGTGGAATCTCCAAGGATAGCCGATGGACTTCTTGAAGGAGACAGAGGCGTAGAAGCTGTTGGTCCAGTTGAAGGTGTCGGGGCCAATGTCGCCGGCGGAGATACCTGACAGGCCTTGGCCGGCGTTTCCGGTAGGTTGCTGGGCGGTGGCCGCGGAGTCATGCGCGAAGTGAGCGTCGGCGGCGTCAGCATCTGCAGGAGGAGTGATGGCCTCGTGCTCCGCCAGGAGGTTTAGCGGGGCGTCGAAGAAGATGTCGCGATAGGTTGAGTTCGACGTGATCATATTGAAGGGGGTATTTCCCGTTCCGACAACGGTGATTGGGCCGTTGGTCAAGCCGGTGCCATTAAAGTAGGTGAGGTAACCGCGCTCACGCAGAGGCGACAAATCCTCCATTACACGCTGCCATGTCTTTTCTCCGTCGGTTTTGAAGTCAATGAGGAGAATGAGGGTTTGAGAAGGGTCGGTGTCGAAGACACCATGTAGAGGTTGATCGACAGCTGCGTGGAGCTGGGTGATGGGATTCTGCCGTTCAATGATCTTGATCAATGGGTCGATGTACATGTTCTTGAGGGTGCGCTTCGTCGTGAGGGATGTGGAGGTATGGCCGACGTAGAGCTCATTGTCAATCAGCCACACATCGGCCTCGACACCAATGCAACCCGCCTGCAAGGCCGAGTACAAGGGTACCCGTCGCCAGTAATCATTGTGTGAATGGCACCCAACAGGGATGATGTCCCGCGAGATATCTGTGGGCCAATGTGTGATGTCTGCGTAAAGGTCGTTGTCCGGCACGTGGCGCCAATGGCCAGCCGCTTTGTCAAATTCGTCGGGGAAAAACGAGAGCACAATGCCACAGGCTATCGAGACGAACTGAATGACTCCTCTGTATGGGTTCGAACAAAAATTAGTGGTCATTGGCACCGATGTGTGGTGGTGATGGTAGGGTAGGACGAGTACTCACAGCATGATGAAAACCCCCGCAACGGTAAAAAGCAAGCAATAGGACACCCTGCGATTCTTGAACCGTCTATGCAACGTATATGAGCGTTTTGAACGTTTAGTGGTCGGTGAGAGGAGAGGCAGACTATCTTCGACCTTCTCCTCATTTGACGAGCAGAGCGAAGAAATCCCAGCCAGTCGTTGGCTCCATGTGAATCGAGATCGGGTCTGGCCCGAACATTGATATTCGTCTATTGAGGTGTCTGCCGGTAATTCCTCGATAGAAACATGATTGTCTGGTTTATCGCGATGCAGTTCGTCTTGGTCGTCGGAGGGAAGGGAAGTCGGGACGAATTCGTAGGACTGCGGGGAGCGTCCCTTGCGGGCGGATAAGAAGCCCATAGCTGATACTGTATCACTTGGAATATTTTCCACCAACTGGCGAGGACTACTACTTCAACCGCCTCAATCCACCTCAATTCTTCGACAGAAAATCGTACAAGAACAGTCATCCCATGAGCATTTATAATTCGAGAGGGGTAAAGGTCAATCATTGTGCCCCAAGGCCCTCCGCCGAAAAGTGGACGCCTGGATTAATACTACTACCCTGCCCTCTGGGGCTATATCTGCTAGAGTTTAGTTCTAGGAACCATCAACATGATTGGGATCTCGAGTCACCACTGGCTCGCTGGGATTATTGGACCCTGGATTGACCCATCCCCATGTGCAGCAAAAGCGACGACGATTGGATGTTGGGCCGACAAGAGGCTTGAAGCCGTCCCAGAAGTCCGTCCTAAGAGGCGAGCCGTGCCGATTTCGTTGGTGTCTACGCGTCTCCAAGCCTAAGGGTCTCAAGGCTTGGATTCTATGATTTGAAAGGATTCGACCCAGAGTTGGTACTAAGTTGGTCCTCATTCCCTAGTGACATGGGCGTTTAGATGCACCACAAAACGGCCCCCACCAGTCGTGAAACGAGCATGGGATGAATGAGGAACAAGCAGCTGATCGACAGAAGGACCCCTCTAAGATATTGATCGCTCCCAATAATAACATTAACCGCTGGTTCCCGTGGATATTATGGTAGATCTCGAAGATGAATGCATGCTGACTGACTGACACCGTAACAGAAGCTGCGGCCTAGTCTACATTGTGAATTCTGATGCCTGGCTCTCTCATCCACTGCGCGATTTGCCACACGAATAGCGTTTCTCTTAAGCATCATTAGGGGCGCATTTAGAATTCAAGAATTCAACTAGTCCAGTCCAGTCGCTGGAACCGAACCACTCACAGTCCTGAAAAGTCATAAGTGAAGCAGAAAAGTCATTCTGCCCACATGACTGGAGAAAGTGTCTCAATATAGATTGACGGAGGATATCCCCCGGAGATGCTAGCCATGGCCGACAAGGACACTTCTATATTAATCCACCAGTATCAATTGTCCAGTACCAAGTGTCTATATCGCTTGTTCCTGATAATGATACAGAAACATCTAGTAGCGTACTTGGTAAGCCTATACACGACAGGGCGTCGACAAGTGCCACCTCTAGACAGTGACAGGAGCCTGACTCAGGTCAATATAGGAACTCCAAGCACGCTTTTGCATGTTAAACTCTAGGGATGCATCATATCATCAAGTATTTTGGTGCTATTATCATTGAAGTCAATAACATACAACAGGGATAATAGAAGGTTGCTTCAATGACCTCGAGCACAGCACTGTGTATCTACTCCAAAGCTGTAATCAACAAGTACATGAATGCAGGCTTATTCTGGGTGCATCATTACGAAGGACAAGCCAAGAATCATCTGGGAATTACATGTGCTCTTACCAGGGAAAAATGATTGTTTAACTGTAAGAGAGAAGAGAGGTAGAGGTACGGAGTACGGAGTATGTAGCATTGTATTGTGCCATTATCGGATCCAAGCAGCCTTATCAGTAGCGATAGCGATTAGATCTGCCGCCAACCACCAAGGAAAAAAAGTTCGCCGACCATCTCAGCTTCAGTTTCTATCAACCACAACCAACAGAACAACAATCCACCATGCCTCATAAGCACAAGAGAAGAAAAAATGACGCGAGGTGAGTATCAAAGTACAACTAATATTATATACATCCGCTAATCCCACCACAGCATCTACGACCTCCCACCCACCCTGATCGCGAAACCTCTCCCGACTCACGATCCCAACGCCCCAAAAACCAAAGGCAAAAAGCCCGCCCCCAAGTCCAAAGCCCCAAAGAAGAAAGAAAACCCCTCGGCCTTTGCCCGCAGCAAATCCGAGCTGGACGATGATACCCCGCGCGCCTTCCGCCGGCTGATGCAGCTCCAAGCCAACGGTGGCAAGCCAGCACCACCCAAACCCGACGCCGGCGAGACAGGAAGCAAGAAGCGCAAGCGCGATGCAACCGAGGACACAAAGCAGTCGTCGCGGAAGAAGACTGCTGCGTCGTCGACTCCGACTAAGGCTGCCAATGCAGCGACATCTACGACCGCTGCCGCGGAACCCATGCCCACGTCTAATCTGAAGATTCTGCCGGGGGAGAAATTGTCAGACTTTGCTGCGCGGGTTGACCGCGAGATGCCCATATCGGGGATGAAGAGATCGGGCAAGCCGGCGTCGGCGGATCTACCTAAGCTGCGCGAGGGGCGGCAGACGAAGCACGAGAAGCGCCTTCGTCGATTACAGGAGCAGTGGCGGAAGGAGGAAGCGGAGATCTTGGAGCGTGAGGCGGCCGAGCGGGAGGAGCGGGAGGCCGAGTTGGAGGAACAACTGGACTTGTGGAAGGAGTGGGAGATGGAGGCTGCGCAGGCCAAGGCGAAGAAGAAGGGCGCTGCCGCGAAAAGAAAGAAGAAGGGCGATGGCGCCCTGGAGGATGATGGCCCGGATCCGTGGGCGAAGCTGAAGAAACGGGATCGGATGAACAAGCCGGCGAACCCCTTCGATGTGGTTCAGGCGCCGCCGCAATTGACGAAGCCGAAGGAGGTTTTCAAGGTCCGCGGAGGCGCCCGAGTCGATGTCGCGAATGTTCCTGCTGCCGTGGGAAGTTTGAGACGGAGAGAGGAGCTCGCGAGCGAGCGCAGGACTATCGTGGAGGAGTATCGGCGGTTGATGGCTGAAAAGCGACGTTGATTTGTGGCTCTTGAGCTCTAATACCCCTTTGAGGCTTGTTAATACCATCGATAAAGAAGGATTATTTACTTTGCGCATCACATACACAAGAAAAGTCTTTATGCCTATTGACGAGAAGACATGGCTTCCGAATGCTTTTGTATATACAATGCATCTATGACCCCATAACACCCAACGAGAACTAAACAAGATCCAACTCTTTACACAATTGTCTGCAATGCTCATGCGTTCTGCAGAGACTTGACATAATCCGCCGCCTTGGCCTTGATCTCCTCCACCATCTTCTCATCGCCGCCATTAGCAGCTGCCAGCTTCTCCTCAAACGACAACCACTTCTTAAAGAAGAACTTGGCCTGCTTGGGACGGAGCTTCTTGCTAGCATCCATGGGAGCAGCAGCAGCCGCACCCTTCTTGGCGTCCCGGATACCAAGTACGCGCTCGAAAAGCCGCCGGACCTGCTCCGCATCACCATTCTTGATTTCCAAGTCCAAGAGTACGTTCCACAGGTCAACCCGCTTGGGGAACGAGGAGAGCAGGCCCTCGAACACAGTTCGGCCACGTTCGACGTCTCCATTGGGCGAGCGGAACTCCAGCTGACCGAATTTAGAGGTAAGCTCCACGTGTGTATGAGATGGCAGAGACTGGAGTGCGCGAGGAAGCAGAGCACGAGCACGATCGGGCGCCGCCATGCTATCAAACAGGAAGCTGGCGTAGTTCAGGAAGAACTTGGGCGTGTTGGAGATCTTCTTTTTGAGAGCCGTCTGGAAGAGCTCATCCGCTTTCTGTAAGACGATCAATTGCGTCAGCATTCGCATACTTAAAATATCGTTTGGTGAATGGTATCAGGGTGACTCACATCATTCTTTCCTGACTGAATGTAGATGCTCGTCATGCGGTCGTAGATCTCCTGCGTATCATTGTACTGGCAGGCGCGCTTGAACACCTCGTCGAGACTGTCATCATTGCCGTATGTGTTCTCCAAGTTGAGCAGAGCCACCCAAATGTTCAACTTCTCGGTGTCCTGACCGATGCTAATGGTGCGAAGGGCTCGTTCGGCGATTTCCTTGGCTTTCTCGACCTCGCCGAGCTCCAATTGGAAGGCCATGTACTTCAGCCAAAGAAGCGAAGAGTCAGGCTCACCGAGCAGGAGCCGTTCGTAGTCGGCAACCGACTGAGGTCCATTGGCGTCCAACTCGCCAGTCCGATCAACCTGGATCTCAGGCTTGCGGCTCTTCTTTTTCTTCTTCCGAGAGTTGTCTTCATCGTCGGAATCGGACTGCATCGCTTCGTCCTCATCGTCTTTGACGTTTCCACTCCAGTCAAAGCCTGTTGCACCAAGGCCCCCGTCTCTTTTAACAGGTGCGCTGGTCATCTCCACATCCTCATCGCTCTCCTCACCATCACTCTCACTGTCTTCCTCAAGGTCAACGCCCCCCATAGATACGTCATCGTCATCGTTCTCGGAATCGTCACTACCTTCTACGTCGACACCGCCCATACCATCTAGGCTGACGCCGTTGGAGTCACCATCCTCGTCACTGCCGCTTTCGTCTTCCTCATCATGATCCTTGAAGTGGGAAGCCTTCAAGCTGAATGAGATCTTCCCTGACTCACGGTCGACCTTGATGATCTTGGCTTTGACAACGTCGCCTTCCTCGTACAAGGTGCGGGCATCGTCAACTCGCTTGTCAGCCATCTCACTACGATGGCATAGACCACTGACGTTGGCGGACCGATCGATGACAATGAAGGCGCCGAATTCCTCCACTTTGCGAACCTTGCCAGTGACAACCTGACCGACTTTCAGGTCATGCATCGTGATCGGCGCCTTGTATTCTGGATCCAAGACAGATTCCTTGAGACTCATCTGCAATCTGCCTTGCTCGGGATCAACG